GGAGGGGGGGGAGGGGGGAAGGGTTTAGGTTGAATACTTGAGGATCGATGTAGGAGTTTTGTTCTAAAAAGGAATATTTTCAGGATAAAATAGTAAAAATCTTGGTCAAACTTAAAGTGCTTATACGCTAAAAATTCATAAGCTGGGGGTGACCGGCTTATGACTTTTGGCTTATTTTTGACTTATAAACACTTGGCTTATAAGCACTTTTAACTTTACCAAACACGTAGATAAGCCGAAAAGTACTTGTAAGCTAGTTTGACTAGCTTATAAGCTTAGCCAAACACCCTCTATATATGGCCAATGTAATTTTGTAATGATATAAGTTGTACATAAATGAATTCTCGTAATAGATGCAAGAGTGAAAGGATAAGACCAATGCATAAAGGGTGTGTTTGGTATGAATGTTTTCCAATTTTTCCATGTTTGGTTGGCTTAAATATTTTGAAAAATATTTTTTTTATGAACTCATTTTCTTCCAATTGGAGGAAAATATTTTCCTTATCAAGAGAAGGAAAAATATTTTTCAAAACTCCTTCTCAACCTTCCCTATCCTCACCAACCCACCCCACCCCCTCTCTCCAAAAAAGATTTTTTTTTTTTTCAAACTTCAGTTTTTCCGTTACCACCCAACCTACTACCCCTCCACCCCACCCCACCCCACCCACACCCCCTCTCGCATAAAAATATTTTTTTAAACCTTATTTTTTATTGCAATTTTAAATTTCTGTTTTTTCGTTTTATGAGTTTGGAGGTTTATGTGTTTCGAAGTTTACGGGTTAGAAATTCTGCGATTTCGAAAGTTTAGCGGTTCGAAAGTTTATGAAATATGTGGGTTCGGAAGGTTGTTGGTTTGAAAGTTTATGGCTTCATGTTTATTATATCTAAATTATTTATGAATACTCTTGAGAAGTCAATTTCCTTAATTTGCGTAACAAACACCGGAAAATGAATTTTCCATGAAAAACATTTTCCGTTATACCAAACACACCCAAAGTTATTAACATTCAGCTTTGGCACTTTGGATTGTTTTATATGAGTTCACAGTAACATACTCACTACGAATAATTGTCCTCACTACAATACAATTGAAGATGTTAAATCATATCTTTTTCCAGTGTCCCAAAACCTAGGGGTGTTCATTGGTCGGTACGGTACGGTATTTAGATATTTCGATTCGGTATTTTCGGTATTCGGTATCTTAAAATCCTATACCAATACCGTACCTAATTAAATTCGGTATGGTTCGGTTTTTCTCCTTTCGGTTTCGGTTTATTCGGTTCGGTAACTTCGGTTTATTCGGTTTGAATACTAACTAGTGCATAGAGTCATACACTCTAATATTCTTAATTAAAGTACTCAAAAATACAAAACTGAAAATGTTTGTTGACAAAAATTTTGTCCAAAACTAGCAAATATCGACCCAAATAGAGAAAATTATACATAAAAGAATATTTGATCATTAGAAATGTCTTGTTACTTGTTTAGAGTTAATTAATGAACTTTGAGAATAAAGGAAAGTAAAGTTTTAGATTTTTTATATTTATGTTATAATTGATAATATGTGTTTTGTGTAATATAATATATATTTCGGTACGGTATCGGTATTTCGGTATTTTATCTTAAAATACCAAATACCATACCTAATACCAATTTTTTTAAAAACTTAAACCAAATACCAAAATACCGTATACCAAATACCAAAATTTTTGGTTTCGGTACGGTAATTCGGTATTTACCAAATTATGCCCAGCCCTACCAAAACCTCTCCCTATGGAATGTACTCAATATTATGTCGCAAAAAAAAAAAAAAAACCAGAAATCAAAAAGAAAGAAGAGAACTTGGGCCATCTTTCCCAAGAGAGGTCGCCTTCTCTCAGGCCAGCAGTCTTCTACTTCTAGTCGACTTCTGCTTTTGTCCATTGCCTATGGTCTTTGGTAAGTAGTCTATAGTTCACTTTCGTCTATGGCCTGCGGTCTAGAGGGAAGTTGTGAGCATTACGTTCATGCATAACTTCCATACCAAGGTAAGGGTGTGTTTGGTACGAAGGAAGGAAAATGAGTGATTTTATCACTTATTTTTCTTTGTTTGATTGGTAAATGAATTTTTTTTTTTTTTTTTTTTGTATATTCTAGTGTTGGTTAGATATTTTTAGAAAAATAATTTTTGATGCTACTCTCCTCAACCCTCTTCCCCAAAATTCCCATGTTTCCTGTACTCCAAACCCCCCTCCCCCCCTCCCGCACGACTCTATTTTCTTCAAGAATTTAATTATTCTTTTTAAAATTCGCGCAAACCCATAGGAACTAATGTGTTACTTTGCTTTTTTACACAAGAACAACGTTGAAATTTGTGCTCGATAACTAAAAAGAAAATACTGTATTTTGTTGAAAAAGAAAATATTATTTCTACAACATGAAAAGAAATTACTCATTTTGTTGAATGAAAGAAAATACTCAGTTTGTTGAAATGAAATAAAATAATTTTTCTATATCATGATAGAAAGTACTCGTTTTGTTAAAATAAAAAAAAATATTTTTTCTACATTAGGAAAAGAAAATACTTAGTTTGTTGAAATGAAAGAAAATACTTTTACTACATGAATTAATATACTCATTTTATTGAAATAAAAAAAAAAGTACTCTATCTACAATAGTTCTATTTAGGGTAGGTGGTGGGCGAAATTGGGGGGTGGGGTAGGGGTAGGGTGTCACGACCCAATTTAGGATCATGACCGGCGCTTAGGAGCAAGTTCCCCTAGGTAAGCCTCATTGATATTTTACAGAAAAAACGGACAGAGTTTTCCCTACTTCTTGGACTATCAGAAAATAATTCCTGTCGCAAAATCAACAACAAACATCCTAATATCAATCCAACCAACAATAACTTTTTCCATTAACCAAAATAAGTCTCAACCATTATAATCCACCCACTAACAGCCACAAATACTAATTTATCTCCAAATTCGATAAGAAAGTGCAATACTCATTATAAGTCTATGATAATAAAGGATACTCATGACACTAAAAGAATGACCATGGAGCGACCTTATGAGTTAATAAGAAAAGACGATAACAAACAAAAAAACTCTTCGCCCACGCGAACAAGTGCAGGCTCACCAGGAACTATCAACTCGTATACTCTAATTAACGAAATCCTCGCTCGCGTCAACTGCTATCTCTGTAAAAAAAAAAAATAGCGGGGAGTGAGTCGCTAGCGGGGACTAGTCAGAAAACATGCTTGTATGATAACATTCAAAAGTATCATAAAAATGAGATGCCCTCTAAAAAACAGTAAATATAATTAGTTTATTAATGTAATTCCTGTAATAGAAATCAATTAACCAATCGGTAATAAATTGAGTAAACAATGTCTCATAGCAAATCTTTATGTTTGGGAGGTTTTCAAGAAAGGATCATGTAATCTGTATCACTGTGTATACCCCTCCGTAAAAGGAGCCAAATATAACTGTAGGTCCCTATTCGAGGGAAAACTGTAACTGTATGCTAGTTCTACCTTCCCACTAGCGAGGACTATAACTGTAATCGGTAATCTGTAAATACAAGGTGCACCATGCCTAACGAACCCGTCGTGAAATACCAACACAATCGGTCCATCCCTGTCACCTTTAATTAATTTTTCTGTTTTCATTACTTTAAAATATGACCATTGATTCTCTGCTACGCAATTTCGTAGTACTTAATTGGATAGAAATTATAGTTCTCTGTTTATTCTTATATTTTTATTTGATTCTTTTTCTCATGTAGTATTATACAAGTATTGCTAGCCTATACATTAGAGTTCTTGGTATAAACTAATAGAATATATTCGTTTCCAATCTTCACAGAAAATCTATGATTGTGCTAAATAAAAAGAATACCTGAAGTTTCTTGTTTCCTTCCATTACAGTGAAATACCAACTAAATCTTAATGTATTAGTTTATCTCAAATTTTTATAGAGATCACTATATATACCCATTTAATTAAAAATAATACTACTACACTGATTCTTTTTATTTTTTATTTTTTGTACATATCATTCTTTTCTACTCTAAGCAATGAGCCAAAATCAGAAAAAGAAAAAAAAAATCAATGATATTTTTTTATAATAATTTTTATAGCTATTAAATCTTTATTTTTTAAAACCTAATAAAAATTGCATAGACAAAAGAAGCAACTCAAACAAAATTGTAGAAAGAAAGTGAACCTTTTTAACCAAAGAAGATGTTGGCTAGAAGGATTATGAGCACCAAGAGTAGAACCTTCTTCTTCTTCTATGTTCCTTGTAAAGGTTTTTTTTTTTTTTTGAATTTCACCAAATCCCCTTTTCTCTATTTGTTGCTGCGTAACCCTTTCTCTAACTCCCGTTTCTTCTTTTTCCTTTTTACAAGGTGGGTGTCGCCGTTTCGGCCCTTTTAGCATCTTCCCTTTTCTTTTTCTTTTTTTGGTTTTTTTATTAGTTTTTGTCAATTACTTAAATACCCTTATTTTTAAATGTGAGGTATTACATTCTTCCCACCTTATGAAATTCGGTCCCCGAATTTCACTCAAATACATACCTGTATACCGAATTAAATCTTCCACTTCCAAGTAGCTTCTTCAATGGTATGATTTATGCATAAAACTTTCACGACCATAATTTTTGTTGACCGTAACTTTCTTACTTATCTGTCAACAATAGCTACCGGCTCCTCTCCGTAGGATAAGTTCCATTTAAGTTTATAATCGGTACTTCAAGCATATGAGAGGAGTTTTGACATATACTTTCTTAGGATATAAATATGAACACTTGAGTAATGAAAGACAACTCAGGAGGAAGTGCCAAATGATATACCACAGCTCCTACTTGGTCAAGTATGTCGTACGACCCTATAAACCTCGGGCTCAACTTACCTTCTTTTTAAAAAAAAATCAAATTTTGCATTTCATAGGAAAAAGTCGTAGGTGACACCCCATCTCCAATTGTGAAAACTATGTCCCTTGACTATTGTCTATTTTGAGCTGCGAGCCATTTAATCACTAGACCTTGTCAATAGCTTCTTGTACCAAGTCAAGTCCTAATAAGCTAGTCTCACCAGCTTCAAACCATCCGATAGGAGAACAACATCTCTTACCATATAACGTTTCGTATGGTGCCATCTGAATGTCGGACTGAAAGTTATTATTGTAGGAAAATTCAGCTAAAGATAGATAGGCATCCCAACAACTTCCAAACTCAAGAATGCAATATCTCCACATATCCTCCAAGATCTGTATAGCACATTTAGACTTTGCATTTGCGTCCGATAAAACCTAGTACTAAGATCACTCGGGTACCCAACGTTTCTTGAAAAGGTTTTCAAATCGTGAAGTGAATGTGATCCTGTCACGACCCTAAACCCAGACCCGGTCGTGATGGCGCCTCTCGTGAAGACAAGGTCAGCCGACACAAACCCCAAGTTTAATTAACAGATGTAATGATTCATAATCAAGTCATTAATAATGATAATCCCAAAACAAAGTGAAAATATATCAACTGCGGAAACAAAACACAACCCGACATCGGGGTGTCACCAGTCATGAGCATCTAAAATCCGTCTAAGAGTATGAAAAGACAACATAGTCTATTACGAAACTAGGACAAATGAAATAAAAGTAAAAGAGAAACACTGGGCTGCGAACGCCGAGCAACTACCTAGTGAACTCCAAACAGCCTGCTGGAAGCAAATCAACCCTCGCTAGCGTGACCTGAGACTGCTGAATCTGCACACAGAGGTGCAAGGAGTAATGTGAGTACGCCAACTCAGTAAGTAATAAAAGTAAAGGCAGCTGAGCGATAAGAAAATACGTAAATACACAGCAAAACGCTACAGCGAGGCAGTATAAAACTAGCACAATGCAGTAAATAGTAAAAACTCATAAAAACCCCTTAATTCAGTAAAAACCATTTTTTTAAAACATCTTTCAGCAGTTCAAATGAGTGAATGGAAACCAGTATAAAATATAGAAGACAACAAACAGCCCCTCGGGCAAAAATACCAATAGAACCAGCCCCTCGGGCTATCTCACAATCACTCGTATCAGCCACTCGGGCAACAACGTGGAACAACATCAGCCCCTAGGGCTATATCACATCACAAACTGGGTACCCGCGCTTACTGGGGGTGTACAGAATGCGGGAGGGGCGCCTTACGGCCCAAGCGCAATAATAAGCCATCTCGTGGCATAATCAACAGGCTCTCGGCCTCATATAAATCACAATCCACCTCGTGGCATAATAAATCTGGCCCTTGGCCTCTCATATATCACAATCGGTACCACATGCTTGTCACGCCCCGAACTATGGCCTGGGCGTAACACGGCACTCGGTGCCTGACTGCATGCGACCGAGCGAACCAACTGTATGGCTGGATCAGCATGTGGTATAACTATGAGCTAGAGGTAAATGTAAACCATGATAGTCTGCTAAAAAGTCTGACTGAAATATCATAGATGCGGAAAAATACTGAAAGGTCTGCAAGTATAAACAAGTAGCTAACAAGGCTAACACATGAAAGCCTTCTAATATCTGACTGACTGGGTTATAGTCTACGAAGCCTCTAAAGAATACTGAAAACGCCAACTGTTTACCGGGACAAGGTCCCCGGTATACCTTATTAATTGAAATACTATAATGACTAAAACAAAAGAGAGACAAGGCCCCGAAAGACTGGGGCTCACCAATAGCTGATACGAGATGTCCTAGCAAGCTGAATCATCGACCTGTAAATCGTTACCTGCATCGCGAGATACAGGCCCTGGGCAAAAGGGGCGTCAGTACATTTGAATTGTACTGGTATGTAAAATAGCTGAACAAAAGAACTGTAAATACTGAAATTGAAATTGAACTGCTAGCTGATAAACTGATAAATGAACAAGGAAGTAAGGATGTGAATACTCCCTCTTCTGAATGATGAACNTTACTATCGAATATGTTGATTTATTGACTGCTTCCACTCATCTTTATATTGACCTCTGTTGGAAAGTTGAATAAATATTTTAAAATAACTTTTACTTAAACTGGGGTTTACGAGATGTTCAGAAATTAATTATGGATTTGGCATTGGTTATTTCCACTGAGATCTTCAAGTTATGAAGCGCTTATGATTACTGTTTTGCTCGAGGGACTGTTTTACGGACTATGCTTTGCCCGAGGGGCCGATTATTGCTTTAATCTCTATTAATATTTTAAATGGTATTAAACCCCTACTGAAACTGCTGGAAGCATTTAAAAAGAAAAATGATTTTTACTAAAAGCTGGATTTTAAAAGGGAAGGGTGACTCGTATTATGATTTGAAAGCCTGTTGTATTTATTGAGCCTAACGCGAATGTGGATTCATTGTTTCCTACTGCTCAGTCTTTATTTACTCTTATTACTTACTTGGTTGGAGTACTAACATTACTACCTGCACCTCGTGTGCAGATGCAGGTAATTATTCCCCCGGTAGCGGGTTTTGGCTGATTGGAGGCAGAGCTATAGGAGTTTAGCGAGGTGACTGCCAGCGTTCGCAGCACCGCTTCTCTCTCTGTTGTTCATTATTCCTGTTTAGTGTATTTTTTTTAGACCTTGTATTTGTATTTACACTCTTATAGATGCTCGTGACTTGTGACACCCCGATTAGGCTGTGTTGGGTTGTACTTCCGCTAATTAATATCATTAATTCATATTTAAACTGCTAATGAACTGTTCAACTATTTTTAAAAGGATGGATTGGGTTTGGTTGGCTGGCCTTTTCCCCACGAGAGGCGCCATCATGACCGGGCCTGGGTTTGGGTCGTGACAAGTTGGTATCAGAGCCTAGGTTACTAGGTGTCACGAGTCATGAGCAGGTTTAGTAGAGTCTCGCGGATCGGTACGGAGACGTCTGTATTTATCCTCGAGAGGCTGCACAACCTTTAGGAAAACTTCACATTCTTGAATTCTTATCGTGCGTCCTTGATTCAGCTTGAGATGTAACTCTTGAAACTCCTTCCACGCGTTCGCATGCGCGCATGAGCGCTCAGTATCAGATGTGCCTTGATGGCTTGTGATCCCCCAATCTAGGTGCGAGATGTGATCTCTGTGAGCTGATGCTGGGCCAGTCTGAAAGACTTGAGGGCGGATCTTTGCTTATGGCTTGAGCGCCGAGGTGCTGACTGTATGAGCAAGTATTTTGAACCTATATGTTCGGTATTGTTCCTATTAGTGGAAGTGACGGCTGGATAGTTATGTGACGAGTATGTTAGTACTGCGAGATGTATCTAAGTGACTGCATACAGTTTATGACGGTGGAAGGTATACAGAAATGTTAACCAAAGGTAAAGCAGGCGGGTTATCTCCTGTGAAGAGCTCTGGGGTTGTGTGACCCTTATGTGATTGTTAGAAGATCTCATGTGCAAGTGAAATGTAAGTGCAAAAATTTGAAAGTTTGGATCGCTTAAGAGAGTGGGCTTAACCGTTGTGAGATTCGCCGAAGATTTAAAGTACTAGATGATTTATGTTTACACAAGCTTACAAAGGATTTGAGTTTAATCTCACTATGGTATTGTGGCATCAATAGAGTATAAGTGTTATGAGTTATTGAGTGTATTCTGATCTATGGCTACGAGCCAAGTGGGGGAGTTTGCTATTGATTAGCTGATTGCTTGGTTATGTGCTGTGTCGGTTCCGATTTGAGGCGTGTGGTGAATCAGCTCTGGATGCGGAGATTGAGCCCGAGGATGCCTCGAGTAAAGGAAATTTTGACTAAGGAAAGGTTATGTGCTGCAGTGTCAAAAGTGCCAATGAGGCGCTGGTTGTTTGGTTCGTTTGATCAGGCTAATTGCAGTTTAAATAGAGTAAATGACTCTAGAGAATGGTTCTAATGTGTTTAAGATTCTACATGTAACAATTGGGTATCTTAAAGTTGTATGGGTGATTAGAAACTGTTGTTTTCATGGGAAGAGGTCAAGACTTGTGGTATTTCTATGTGAATTATGGGATTCTATGTATTAGTATCAGGAAGGTAAAGGTAACGGACTTAGATTCGCAGGAAGTTCTTCAGAGTAAAGAAATTTGGAATGTGGTGTTTCTGGGAATATTGAGAGAGTATTCAACGGCTTATGGGTCTTAGGCAGTGTGGTCTTATGCTTGGGTCTCGTGTGGTGAGCCTGGGTTGAGGAATTGTAGTGCTACAGCAAGAGGGGATATCAAGTTGAAAATGAATCAGAAGGAAATCTAGATAGATGGAGTAGCTTGATAGTAGACCGAATCGGTATGGAAAGGACATGATTAATTCTTTGTATGTGTTCGAGGTAATGAGTTCTTACAGGTATTTTTGCAGCACCGCTCTTGAGTTTTGATGGCTTGCTTAGCTTGATCTAGTTAGAA